GCCGATCCATCCGGGATATTACGGCGTCTTGCAGACAGCCACGCAGTGCGTCGTTACGACGTAACCACCGCCGTTTCGCTAACTCGCGGTCAACGAAATCCTGTCGAGAACGAGGTTAGGCTTAACCAGTCGTAATCGTTACAGGGTTGGGTGGGAATGCAAGGTCGCGCCAACTGGCGGCGGACGTAGCTCCGCGCTTCCGCGGCCGCGCATGTACGGTCAAAGGGTTTAGCAAGGATTTTGTGAACACCAAAGGTACGGAGCAATTTCCGATGTTCGGCCATGTACACGGTCATCGTCAGCTCAGCAAGCTTTGCACATCTGACATGTGTTCCAAGCTTTAGGGAATGCGTAAAGAGCCGCCATGTGGAAGGCAGACCTTGCCGAGGTCCTTCCGAGCATTGCGAGCATTAAATGCTGTGGCTTGGGGGCGTGCTCTCGATAATGACGGCATTCTGGCTGTAGCGCCGTATGTCATGCATATGGTGCGCCTACTTCTGTTTGCAAATCATGATCAGTCTGCTTTGTTACCTATGCCGCTTGCCCGTTTTATCATTCTCGCTGAGCATATATATCACGGAAGATATGTCCTAGCACCCCTCATGAGGGTGTTCCCACTTTTTGTCGGGGTGTGCTTTCAGGCGGCGAAACTTTAGCGGAAAGTGACTGATCGATCTGACGTAACCTCCATATATATATTATCCTGGCATATGGAAGTCCGAGTCGGGTCCGAGTCATGTGGCAATCCAGGATCTCACTGTGAATGTTGCACAGCGGCGCAGAGGCATTCCCTTCAATGATCTCTTAGACGTTTGCAGCAGCACTGGCCGGCCCGCATTTCAACTTGCAAGTTCGTCTTTTAATTTGCGCATGAAACGATCCTCGAAAACAGAAAACAACATCTTCACTGGTAGAACCACTACCGGTTTTCTGCTGCAGGCCAAGGTTGCAGGGCTAGCTTTAGGTTTGCAGGGCTAGCTGGTTGTCTCGGCCTCAATATACCTTTTGACGCATTCGTGTCCAGGACGTGGGTACACTCCCATTCAGTCCAATCAACTCCTAGGACTGGGGAGCCGCATTAATTTGCTGATAAGGTTTCAAGTCTCGAGCGACCTTGACAAGGGTGCACGTGCCAAGCCGCCGTGGTGTTGTGGGCGCCAAATCTCAGCACCTACGAGCGCCCCACGAGCGCAGAGGAAAGGTTGGTAGCCTGAAAAGCTGAGCTTGTTGTGCTGGTTTAAGAAGCCCCTCAACAAGATTCTGGAAATATCTACTCCCAGCTAGTGCAGCTGCATGATGCAAAAGGTGCTACCTGGTCTTTTCGAGTGTATATGTCAGTGGCACATCCTTATAGCATGAGCATTTCCATCGTGATAATCTCCCCTGGCCAATACAGATGCAAAAAAGGAATCTCCTTTTGAGAAATTGTAGCCTTTTTCCAAACCATATCAGTGGCTGGACTATACTGGTTGAGAAGTTGAGTCCTGGATGATGAACAAGTTGAGGTGTGTGCCACAATGCATTGCATTTGGACTTCCAAGACGCCGCCTGTGTTTCTTGATAACGTGTGTCAATGATCTTTGGTATGAATCATACAAAGAAAGCTAAAAATAAAAGCCGTACTTTGACTTAGAAGGTTCTGTTCGCAGCCTCTTATGAAGATGACTTGACATCAAAGCAGAACATGATAGCATAGAACCCAAGCACTGCTTCAAACATCCAGAACATTTCACAGCGTCACTTTGAGATTGTCACTTTGAAAGCTGAAAAGTCAGCAGGCATGGTAGCCCTTGATCCTTCTTTCTAAACATCCGTCTGAAGTTCCAGGGCCAGAACCAGAATGTTGCAGCCAGGAATAAGTAGCTAGAACGAGTACTCACATATTTTTCTTCAACTATGCAGGTACTCAGTCACGAGGAAAAAGTGGGACCTTTCCCCTAGCCTTGTGCAGCGGCCTCCTAAGCTCTCCCAAGCAGGGCTGTCAAGCACATCTTTGGCGCTTGCTTAAGTAGCACCCGAACAATATCAGGGAGGCCAGAAACCACTACTTCACTGCTGGCAAATACCATGGCAACTTTTCACCACGACTCAGCAATGTTTGCCAACCAGACGGGCGCGCACCCTGCTCATATGGCACCGGGGAATTATGAGGGCCGTCAAGTCCATGTGGGGCAGCAGCTCCCGCCCCAGGACCCCGCTCTCCAGAGCCACCCCCCCCATTTCCAGCCCCAGTACAGCCCCCCAACAGGGCACAATCACCACCATAACTGGTCTTACGTGCAGCACCAGTACGCTCCTCAGAGTCACACCCAGTCATCTGGCGCTCAGCAGTACTCCCAGCCAACCCCTCAGAACTACGCCCACTCATCAGCTCCCCAACAGTACTTCCAAGCGCCATCCCCCCATCAGCATACCCACCCTGTCGCTCAGCAGTATTCCCAGCCAACCCCGCCGCAGAATTCGCAGCCACCTCATCACGGTCACAGCTACCCGCAGGCGCCCCCGCCTATGTACATGCATACGGCGCCAGTCTATCACGCACAGCCCGTTCACCCGACGCCCCCGCGGCGGCGTCTCCGGCCCCCGCGCCGGCGTCGCAAGATGCGGGCGGCAAGCAGAACAGCACGGGGGACCAGTTGAAGAAGATGCTTGAGGCGGGTAAGAAGATGATGAAACAGGACGAGTTGACGCCGCAACAGCAGGCAGCGAAGCAGCAGCAGAAGGCGGCAAAAGAGCAGCAGCAGGCGGCGAGAGAGCAGCAGGTGGCGATGAATCAGGCGATGTGCGCTCACTCGACTGACTACATGGTGGAGGAGCCTACCGGCTTTGCATGGGTGAGGTTTGGTTTGGTTTTTAATTGTCTTGTTTAGCTTTGACCGGGTCGAGTGGGTCTTTAATGACATTCAGACCAGTCGTATCTGGTGAAAGGGCGCTTTCGTAGCAACTGTGTCCAAGTCAAATGGTTCCTGGTGGATTAGAAGCTCATGGTCTTGGCCTGGATTTGGATTCGTCCACCCGTGATGTCTTGTTCGCCTCCCCCTCCTTTCAAAAGCGGAAGTGCAGGCAATCAGAGACGAAGCCTTTCAAGCTTTCATGCCACCTGTCTTTTCCGATTGAGTAACGTCTAAAAGTTTAAGGCAATCCGTCTTCAATTGAGATGCACAAAATCGTTGGTCCTTCAAAAGGTGTGATGTCAACCAGTCAGACAAGCTTGGCGAATCTGATCAACGGTTGTGGGCTGCGCGCCGTCATGAGGACCAGACCCTGTCGAGTTCACCTTTCTCACTCAACCGCCCGCCACAAATGGCTCCCATCGGAGCAGTACCTCTTACGCGAGCGCGCTCACTTCTCTGTATGAGCCACTGACTTCCAGTCGGGATTCAACCTTTTCTGACGCTTTGAGCTATCTTGCCATGTGTCTTCGGGCCGTTCCTTCGTCTTCTTCGGGCTGTCCAGCCCACCGCAAAATCTGGGGGAGTACTTGCCTGCTTCCTTTTAATCACACATGGGCTTGTAAAGCGTTCCGACCACAAGTTAGTGAGCTTTCTCTCTCCTCTCTTAAACCCTTGCAAACATCTTTCGTTACGGCTGCCACGTCTTCGCAGCTCCTTAAAATTGCTCTTAAAAATCCCTCACCTTGCCACGTGTGCAGTTGTGCTGCTGCTTCTGGCTGCTGACGGGCAACCCGGCGCCGTGCACGCAGATCCGCTGCACAAACTGTGACCTGATTGTGCAGTCTTGAAGTTCTCCGAAACCAGAGGCGCAAAATCTTCTACTGGGCGCTTCGAATCGGTCGGTTCAAAGCACAGCCCGTTGGAGACGTGCATCGTCTTCTAATTGCACACAAGTAACTTGAAGAAATAGCTCTATTGTATACGAGATTGAATTCTGGATTGATTGAAGCAGTGTCTGGTGGTAGGGAGGGCCGGTTTCTTCGGCATTTGAAGCGAGCTGGTTACTTGTGGAGTAATAAGCATCTAGTTGTCAAAGATGGAGAGGATCTGCGAAGCGGCGCCTCCGATACTGCAAAGTAACGGCGTGGTTTAGGCGCAGCGCATGATTCTAGCTTGTCGATTACCGATATGTAGAACCTTCCGGAGGACGAGTATATCGCAGCTCCAGGGGTGCCAACTTCGACAACGTCGAACGCGGAGTGGAGCACTGGTAGGAATTCTACGTCGTGAGTATATAAAGCAGTATCGTAGCCGTTTGGAATTGGATGAAAGTGTCCATGTCATCCTTTCGTTGCGTCCGATGCATATGGCGAACGGGCCGGGCAGCATCGGGGGACGCCAGTGTATCTTTTAAATGCTCCATAGTCTGAGTGGGTCCGACGATAATTAATGTGGCTTAGGCTCATACCTACATGGTAGACCGCCCGGGAGGGCGGTGGAGGCTTGCCTATTATGTGGGGCGACCGGGCGGCTTTTACAAAGTGCGTCTTCTGCCAATTCCGGCAGATTCCGTTTTCTGCCGATTCCGACCGGAACATACCCAAGTCTCATACGTTGCGTACTGTAAGTTGTTTTGCGGTGCAGACCAGGTCACCAGGCTCTCCTCTGCCCGGGCACTTTGTCGCATCTTTACAAAAGTTTGGGTGCAATACTGATGGAGTCCACTGAAGTCAAGGGTATTTTAATTTCTATTTTCTACACTGAATGGCCGGGTTAAGCCGCAGTGTCAGCCGCTTGGCAGAGGTACCAACTTCAACGTGGCACTTCCGCACGAGTTCGTAGATCTCGGAGCTTTGACTTCTACCAGGTCGAGGTATCCAGTAGCGCTTGCAAATCGCCTCCGCCTCTGGTGAAGAGTGCTGCCGCAGGTCGTGGGGAAACGGACACAAAGGGGTATTTCGTTCGGGCTTGGTACCTTGGCTGGATTTTTTCTGTGACGTGGAACGTCGTCAGCGGAGTGGCGGGCCTTACCACTGCAGAGGTGCTTTTCGTCGCTCTGGCATGGGTGGTCGCTATGATGCTCCTCGCGGTAGTTGCCGGAGCCTGGTTCTGGGTTCGTCGGATCTCTGCGAAACTCTGCCAAAGCTTTGAAGCAAGCCGCCCTCCTCCGGACCACGTCTCTGCATCGACTCCCGACACCATACAGGACGACGTCAGCAAGGGCCCTATGATGTCAGAGAGACCCTTTTCTCTCTGGTGGAGAAACGTCAAGGCTTTGTTCACTTATCTCTGGGCGGCCGTCGGGGCGTTGGTATGCGGCGCGGCGGTGCTCGCGAGCGCCCTGGCCGTCCTCTCCCTCGTGGCTGCGCCAATCCTGGCCGTTGGATTCGTCATCTGTCAGAACTCCAACGGTTCACCTCAGCGCGAGGGGGCCCAGTTAGTCTGCCTGATCCCAATCAGGCAGGCCTCAACCAGCACTTGTCCTCACAGCACGGTGGAGCTAACCTCACTTTGTGCACGACAAAAAACCTGCAGTTCTACGTGGCTTGCCCCGCTGCCAGCTGTGAACAATTGGCGGAGCCTTATGGGCGTCGTCCGCCTGCCGGAGAGCCGTACACGTGGCCGTCGGTGGTGCCTGCCAGCTGTCCATCACGCTTTGGGCCTTTTGAGACAGAGATTCTGCGCCTCGTCGCTATCTGTGGCTTTGCGGGCCTGATGTATATTCTCGTGATGTTCTGCTGTTGGGTGTGTTCAGTCACACCTGAGCAGCCGCGCTATGCAGCTTACGGGGGATACTACTAGCTGTCGCTCAACCAATTGCTTTCAAATATTGGGACCGAGATAAAAAGGAAGATGTAGATGCTGAGCAGAGGGACTGAAAGGTTACGTGATGGGTGGGATCATGCGTGAATTCTAGAGTCGAAGTTTAATACGCCTGTGAAAGGCGTCAAAACTTCCTTGTAGCACCGCAGATTGTGCGATGATGTGGACAGCTCCGCATTGACTTCTGGATAGTTCTCCACACTGGGTTTCTACTGGCAGTTGGGTTGCAAAATAGTAGTCATCGTCACGACGGCCAAATAGAAAACTTACTTTGCCGAGATGCTTTACCTACCAGCGTATAGCTGCGCGCCTCTAGGTGCTTGCCTATCGCGGCCTCAATCTGCATTTGGAAATTTTCTTAGGGAGAGTTTCTCGTCAACCTGATGTAAATGCAAAGCTACACAACTACCGTATGCTGAATTACTCGACAGACTGATTGCTCCTTTTCCTTCTTCATCCGTACTCCTTCATCCTTGATTCTTCATATGGCAACGAGCATTGTCTTGAATGCATATATTGCTTTCCTATCACGCTTGCACCCAACTTGAGCTTGCATATGCACCAGAAGTCTCCGTGCATCCCAAGAATCATGATGATCCATCGATCGAGTCTCAACCCCAAAACTCGAAGATTCAGGATCAAGATGTCTCGATCTTATTCGAAGATTCGCCTTCTTCTTCTTTTAAGAGTACGACTTGCGCATGTTTTACGTTACGTGGTCGCCAATAAGGACGTAAACATGAGAGGTTTCACGTCCGGTCGCAAGCCCCCGATCCAAAGCAAAGTGTCCGCACTACGTCAGGCTTCAGAAGTTGTGCGCCTTTGATACTCTGGCATGCTCGTACCGTTCGGCTACATAGATGTCAAAGCTATCTTTACGCGTAAATAAAACCCAATTACTTTCAATATCCTTGCGCGGGATTTGCTTTGGCAGCGCTGCGAAAACGTATCGGTCTGCGTCCGGCAGAGTTGCGACTATCGATATCACGGGAGCACGTCTCAATGGAAACGTAGGAACATGCCCATGTCATACATAGAAATCAGAATGGACCGAACAGCTTGCCCCCGAACAGCAGGCATTCGTGCAGCCGAAGCGCCGCGTGCTAGCCAATCAACCAAGCAACATGAGCAGATCAATCTTAATTACCAATGCCGCCGTGGGACCGTCTTCTGCGAAGACGTATACGTATTTGATTCAAGGCTGAAAGTGGTAGCTTCAGTTGCTCTTACCATAATACTTCTCAAATTCCACCGCCATCGTTTCGTCGAACACTGAAGGTGGTCAATCGCAACTTTGAGAGATCCGATTATCCTTTGTGATCTGTATAACCAGGCTTTGGCAGTGCCCCCAAAGATCTTTTGTGCCAGCTTATTGCAGGCCAGCCTGGCGCCTGCCCTCGAAAGATGCGCAGAATGTTGCACTATGGAGTGGCATGGGGTATGACTTAAAAGGTTGCGCGTCGACCGAGAACCTACTTGGCCTCCAGTGTTGCCTTTGTAGTACCGACAGGTAGGAGGTACGGTACTTTTCAAGCCATATTGCTCCTCTGGTATGTACCCTGGTCTACCACGTGGATCTGAAAGCCATCCGATTGGCTAAGAAATCTGAAAAGCTCTTTGCAGCTTTTCGGTCGACGCGCACCCTTACCACTGTAGCTGACTGTAGCAGTCTCACTAGGAGACAGTTTGTTTGAATTTTCACTGCTCAGGTCTGTTGCGCGTTTAGATTGACGTCATGTGTGCGAGCTTCATTAAGCTAAAGCTGGTTGATTTGCACTGTGATACGTGCAGATCTGGAAGTGAAGCTGAAACTCATCTCAGGATCGAAGGATGCCAAATTCTTTTCTTGCAGAAAGGACAGTATGTGAAATGGCTGAGGACTTCTGAAGCGCTTTGATTTGAGATATTGCGCGCAGGATGAGCGGTTTCGTAAGGTTAGTTATACGGGAGATCTCGAACCTGACGTCTGGTATCCGATAACAGATGGCCAGTGCAACCTTGAACGTTGCAAGAAGCATATGGGAAAGTTGCAAGAAGGCGTTAGGTACAGCTTTGCAAAGGCGTTCTCCCCAAGAAAGTCTGGGCAGCAGTTTCGGACCCTAGCTCCTGGCATGGAAAGGTAGAGTCCCCCAGTCTTCGCAGAGCTACAGACGCTGACTAAATGTTTGAGCAGGAGCCTCTCAAAGACTTCGACTAATGGTGATGCGGCAACAGGCGATGTACGTCTGTCGTGGAACATTGGCTCTAATCTGAAAAAGGACACCAATCATTTTCCGCTTAGTAAGGTTGCTCGAATTGCTTACCAAAGTTCTTTTCAGCACTTAATTATGTGGCCCTGGAGCCTCTGGTGCCCCTCTTAGGATCCAAGTGTGGTTCTTTGTCTGTATATTTATGCGTGATGGAGGCTGAGGCTCTGTCCTGCGCGATGAGTGAGTCGTAGAAAAGATTCGTCCTTGAATGCTGCTGAAAAGTTCTTCATTGTAGAGCAACGTTTGGCAGATCATTCTGTTGCTCTCAAGAATGCGGCACGTTGCAAGGTTTCTCGATGACAGACGGCAGCATGGATACCCTGCATATCAGCTGCCAAAGCTGCCACTGCATCCTTGAGGTAAGTCTTCCCTTCTTTGTTTCCTTGACCAGCTTTCATTTGTGAGCTCGTGCATGCTTTCAAGCGATCTGTTAAGAATAACATTGATTGTGCATGACCGAAAGTATCAGACGAGTCTGCAGGTCTTCTAGACATCTTTTGGATCATGTGAATCATGCGAGTCATCTTTTTCTGCAGGTGGAGCTACCTCCAGATCTAATGCAGACCACGGTACACGTGCGCTGCGGGAACTGCAAAAGCATTCTCTCTTGCGACATCACAGAACATCTTCTCGAGATGGCGCAGGTAAAGCTAACCTTAATCTTTGGTTTGTCTATAGGTATATCACTCCTGTCTCTTGCTGTGCGGAGATCTGGATCCACCTGAATTCAATCTTTATCGGTTTCAGAAAACCATGAAATAACGGGAGACACGTATTGAATAGAGTTCATTTGAAGCATTCACCTCGTATACCGTTTCAGGTTTCTGTGGACCTTCCTTCAACTCAAGAGGGCCGGCGCCATTCAAACGCCTCATTCAGCAGCGTGGAAGGATTTGAAGAATTTGAGAAGGAGGAGCGGCTCAGCGGTGGTACAGGGAAAGAACATGCTGACCACGGAAAGGCACCCAAGAGTAAGTCATCTCGAATCAATGACTCTTTCGATCTGTGCGTCTGTTGGTAGGGGTTTGCAAAACGTTGTCGATTATAAGAATGATCTGGGAATTGATCATTCTTTAGACGTCTCCTGTCCTGATCTTGCGCGGCGCGTGCAACACTTTTACGATTGCAACCGTTCAGAAGCCGGACCGCATCCTAGACTGAACTTTTAACCACTAATTATGCTGGTTTTCAGACAAAGAGAAGAAGCCCCGGGCGCCAAGTCCGTACAACAACTTCATCAAGTAAGTCAACCCTTGCGAAGTCTTTCGCCCCCTCTCAAAGTGACCCTGCTGCACTCTTCCGTCCTTCGTCTCTGAGAGCCAAAGCTAGATCTTTGCATTCGGGCGCTCAACTTGACACTCTAAGCAATGCTTGATTGTGGTTCAGAATGATGGCTGGAAGCACGCTGCAGGGATCAAGTGCCGAAGCTGAAGGCCGCAAATCCAGGCATCAATCACAAAGTGGGTTTTCAAGACGTTTCTCTTTAGAATAAGCCGATAAGTCAACATTAACACCATCTTGAATGTGTCGTGACGAGTGCAAATCTGGGCGGCAGAGGCCCGAAATGCAAATCGGCCCGCACAATAACCTTTCCGCAAATTAGGCATCTGCACATTGAAAAGTCGAAGTTCTTACACACGTAAACGATGATCCTCCCCTCAAAGCCCTTATTACAGGATGCTTCTTCGTGGAAGAGTGAGATAGCCACAGGACAATCCCTGGTTGATAGCCGCAACTGTGCCTCACCGCTTACCCGTTCGCTTCTTGAGAAGTCATGTCTTCGAAACCAGTTTCACTGGCGACTTCTTTTCTGCAGGAAGCGTTCCGTCTCGCCGCACTCAAAGTAAGCTCCACCTCACTTCTGCGCATCCAGCAATGTAGCTCCGATCATCTTTCCCCGCGACGTCTAGCGTTGTGCTGATGGGGATCCCTCGATGCTCCGTCTTTTCGTCAGACTACAGGGGTTGACATATCCGCGGATTGTTTTCTGCTCGTAATTCTTTGCAGTGGGGGTCGTCTTCATTGAACCCGCGAGCCGTCAGAGACGGGCAGGCTGATGAGCAGCGCGAGTTTCTGCAAGGACTACGTGAAGCTGGCGCTCTTCGCAACCACGGTACATGAGGTTGATTGGACTTTGTGCACAAATTTCAACCGGTCCATCTATGCATTGTTTCCGCCGGAATGGTCGACAAGCCTGTAACAGGAAGAATGAAGGCTGTTATTTCGAAAAGAGAATCAGTTTACCGCTTCGCAGCCTGCCGCACTGTCGTATACAGCATGATGAGTCTGTTGAACAGAGCTTGGAGCTGAAGCTACGCTGTTCACGTCCTGCTATTGCCACCCTCAGCTGTTGGCAATTTCGTTAAGAACAACGGACAAATTGCTGCTCTGAACCTGTAATCAGTTGCGACAGCGCTACCTGTCGTATCCGGCAAGGTGGTCTTGAAATGACTTTGACGTTTTTATGAACGTAAGCTGATGCCTTACTCTCGTTCTCCTGCAGACTTCCACCAACCTCCAGGATAAGAAGCCCCACAACTTGAAGCTGCCCATTGGTCACAAGTCGAAGTTTGGATCGAACTTTATCAAAATAGTTTGTGACGATTTTTCCTCCACCTCGAGTGCTTCGAGCGGATTTGAATGCGGCGCGGCAGTGTCGCCAGCAAACATTGTCATGAACCTAGCAATCAGACGATATATACGAGAAGCTAGGATGTGATCCTGTGCTTTCCTCGCGTGTAGCACGTGTTGCTACACACACCGGGATTCGATTGTTCACACACTGAAGGGCTGCCGTCAAGCTCCAGAAGCTACAAACTTGAAACGTCCGACTCGAAATAAAACATCTCAAAACCATACCCTAAGTAGTAGCTTAAGTTTCAGGTTGGATCATTGATTCTTTTGGGGAACATACTGGGTTGCATATTGTTTCGCTCAAGCAATCTCACATGAAAGAGTGACCCTGGGGCTCTTATAAGGTCCTATGAGACAGGCGCGCCGCGACCTTATAGGCGCTCATCTCGTTTTCCAGAATAGCCAGTGCCTAATTTTTAAGGAGGGTCGTGCTGCGGCAAATCAGACGTTGAGCGAAGCTACGAAAATTTTCTTCCAGCTGCAACGTGAGTCTTGAACATAGCCGGCCAGCCCATGTGCACACTTCATGTTGATTTTCTGTGTATGGCCCCAGCTGCACTGCATGAGCGCGGCGGCATACACCAATGTGCACCAAGATCTATGAACGGAACGCGTACAGCTATTCAATTCTTATTGTGCGGGCATGCATGTACCAATCATTGAATTTCAGCGAGAATAATTCTGAGTTGTTCAGTCATGCACCAATTTTCATGCGTAATCCGCCAATTTTGAAATGACGAGTTCGATTGCACACTAGCAACAACCAAGCCTGGCAGGCCGACTCTCGAAAAGATTTGCGATCGAGAATTCTTGTAGTAGAAGGGATTTGAGTCGGCAGATGTCAATCGGACTCATGATATATTCAGAATGATCCCGGCCGTACCAAGATTCACCATCTGATGCTCTCTCAAGATCCGGTATTGTGAGCAACGGCATGATTGTCAAGTCGATCAAAACTAGTGCACTTCACATGCCATGTCCGACGGATCATATATGAATTCCGTCCATCCGCTGGATGATCAGGCCTAGCCTAGACGTTCATGCGAACCCCAGATTGCCACATCCGGCTGCTGCTGGCATCATGCCGCGTTTGCAACTGACTTGGCGCAGATCCTTTGTCGCATTTGGTCGACTCGCCCACTCCCGACAAATGAAAAGGTGAGGGACTTAGCAAAGCACAATTCGAGGAATTTAGCAGGCCGGAATCGTTAGAGAAGTATCGGATCTTAGCATTGTGTCCAGACGGTTTTCAGCTCTTCGTAAGAGCCAAACACCCTGCCTCATCTAGCAAGGAGGTGCAACACAGACGTCATTATTTCGTTTCTTCGCGCACAGCCAGGAATGCACAACAGCCGAACTTGGATCTGCGCCGAGACTTGCAAAGTCTCAGTTCACAGCTGTGAAGATTCAATGTCACCCTCCCCTAAGGCCCTCGCTGCAAAGTGCTGCCTGCACCTGCTTCCTACAAGCGGGGTGCACGCTCGACGCTATACATGAGCGCTGGCCCGACCCAACCCCTTATGAGAGTCTACTACCACACACCGCAAAGACGCTTCTGACCTACAGTGACTATTCCCAGAACGATGATGCTGCGTCATGTTTTCTGCCGGACCCGCCGCCCATTCACATCGGCCCCGTCGGCCGCCTGGGCCCACACGCTGCGGGACCCGCTCGCGGCCCCCTTCTGGGAGCTCGTGAGGTCGTCGGGCGTCATCCCGTCGGGCATCCCGGCGACCGCGCGCAGCAGCTCTGCTTGCAGCCCCGGGCAGCTCACGCTCAGGTGCTCAAAGCCTTCCGACTTCATCACGGCTGCAAACCGAAAAAACAAGCTTCGTCAAGCAACTCGGACCTTAACTAAGGCTGCAACCATTGAAGACACGCTTCGTTAAAGTGAGCGTACGACGTGAATGCCATTTCATATCTCACGATACCGTGACACTCGTCAAACTGCCGTCCAGAGTCTTGCCCGTCGAAATCGTGACAGCGTCCGCCGACTGCATTCGAGTCCGCTTCAAGCGACGAGGTCGTCTTTTCCAATATGATAGGGCTGCGCGCGAGGAAGAGCAGTTGGCGAGATCCTGATGAGTGGCTCTTAACTTACAGGACGTGACTTTCCAAAATACAGCAGTATCTAGAAGGCAGATGTGGTTCGGTTCATTCCGACCCATCTGAGCAACAGCTTGAGCGCCCGCCAAAATTGGCGACACCAACATCCGGGTTTGACTCTGCAGACCTTTTGACAGGTCTGCCGCACAATGAACTCCAAAGTCAGCAGTCCACTGGAGGACGAGAGCAGAAACCAATCAAGACTCATCAGAAACAAATCCTGGTCTGAATCGGGACAGGCTTAATCCTCTCGTACCTGACCTGCGTGCGGTAAACCTTGGCTGCCACTGGCAGCTTCTGCTTGTTTCCTCAGTACACAAGACCAGAAGAAGAAGGAGCATCAAAGGACGACCAAAGAATCCGAAACGTTCAAAAGAAGCAAGCACAGGGACGGTCAGAAAAGGGCAGGTCGACTCACGGTTGCCTTCTGCACTGCCCACTGCAAACTGAACCGTATGCGCGGAAGAAAGGGCGACCAAAAGGAGCTGGAACGTAGAAAAAGCGAGGCACAAGAACCGGGCGACTGACGGTTGAGGTTCTGCGCTGCGTACTGCAGGCAGACCTTCTTGAGCTGCGCCGCGTGGTGTTGCTCCGCGAGCGCGAGCGTCGTCGCCACGGTGTCCACAGAGACGCCCTCGCACAGCTTGGCTTCGCAGATCAGCCGCAGGCGGTCGAGCCCGTACCGGTCGGCGGCGGCGAGCAAGTGCTGCGCCATGATGGTGGAGGAACTGCTGCTGGAGGAGCTGGAGGACGTCTCGGAGTCGGGGAGGGCGTCCGTGTAGATGAAGTGGAGGAGCGCCTGCAACGGGTTAAGAACGGGGTTAGGAAGTAGGTCAAGTGGAGGAGAACTGCGAAGAATAAGACGGCGGGTCAAGGATGGATTAGGGGAGAAAGAACCGTCAACGTTGAGGACGTCTCGGAGTCGGGGAGGGCGTCCGTGTAGATGAAGTGGAGGAGGGCCTGTGAGGAGTAGAGGAAATCGGACTGAGAACAGGGTTAGAGAGAATCACCATGATGTTTAATCTTGCCAGAGAGAGGAGCGCCTGGAAGACTTACGAAGGCAGTCGTTGACAAGAGAAAATTGCAAGGAAAAATAAAGGGATATGTGACCTGAGTGAATTTAGAAATAGGAAAACCAAAAAAAAGGTCTAAAGCAGTGGACAGACTCTGCTTCGCAAACTGGGTGACGGAACAGTACCAACTCAAGGGGTGGTGTGTTATGCGGACTTTGTCCAAAGTTTATGAAACGAAAGCATCACAAGAGCGACCACCCAGCATGAACGCAGGAAAGTGCAAGAAAGGCGCCAGAAAAAACAAATGCTCCTTCCTGCGGCTTCTCTCCTCGTCCTTGTGAGCTTTCAATTGCACAGCATGCCTGCTCCGCAATTTGTCAGCTGCTTCGACATGCCTACCTCTGATGACGTAAATTTCGGCTCCACAAGCAGAACAAAGCAGCTTAAGGAGCAGCAACAAAGCTCAGCGCCACCACTGCATGACAAAAAGTTGGAAAAATACTTCACTAGTGTCCAACGCCCTGCTTAAACCCCTGGAACCGATTGGCCCGAATGACAAAAAACCTGGACGCTCAGCAAACTCAAAACCTGTGACGTAAACTCCTGAACTGAAAGTGTGACCAAACCCGGATCCCTGGTGTTCCATCAGGGACTGAAACTCGAATCTTGTCAATCAGAACGCCAGATCGCCGCAAGCTCTCACCCGGAAGATTGGGGCTTGCACATCGTCAATCTGTAGCGTGTTGCTCTTCTCCCGCAGGGGCCCCATGAGCTGCGCCTTGAACACCGGGGAGCGCGCGCACAAGATCAGCTTGTGGGCCCGGATCTGCTCTCCGTCGACTTCTAGTGTCAAGTCAGAGGCCTCCCCCGACTCCAAGAGCTGGCTGTAGTGCATCCCTAGCTGTGGCTCAGGGACGGGAATGATGAACTTTTCGGGGGACTGAGTGGTTGACACTACGACGCCAACGGTGCAAGTGAGGTTGAGAGTGTCGTTCTTGAGGTAGTCGGAGGTCTCGAGGGCGGCGCGCCGGAAGAAGCGCTTGTAGCCCCTGCGGGAGGGATGAGAGGCAAACAAAGGGTTAGGGTCGGTCAACTGCAGGTTAGCAAAAGGAGGAGGGTTACAGGAAGGCTATCGGAGTGGGCTAAGGATACAACACGTGAGCGGAGTAGTTAGAACAGCCGACAGGGTGTAGTTGAAAGAAGGTAACAGATATGATTGGCAGAAGATTACAAAGACCGTGAACATAAGTCCAGCTCATTGTATCCTAAGGAAACGAATCTTTTGACGCGGGAAGCTGAAACAGAGGGAGCGCAAAGGTGGATGGTTTGATCTTGAACGAGGGCGTTGTGGACATGCCCCGCCTCCGGCAATATAGAAGTTGATGCAAACTTTATGCTTGACATATCCCTATGTGCCATCTTTTTTACGGCGCCATTAGAGCTGGAGCGCATGCCTTGAGGCTGGCAATAGCCAGGTGGGGTATGCATAGCCTGATGGCCCCCTGACAAAAACGCTGCAGCAGGCCTGCAGCATATACAAATGTCGGGATCCCATACAAATAGAGTGGTTTTTCCATTTTTTACAGCCTGGGACCTTCCTGTGGATCTTGCAATAAGAAGTAACAGCTCATAAGCACTCCCTTGAGAGCATGAATCCTTGAAGCTCCCAGGCTGGGGCGAGCTAGATATGACTACGGATCTGTTGTAGAAACCATGCATGCATGCATCCGAGCACCATGTGCTACACCAATCTTATTTGCAAAGGCAACCATGAGCAAGCCACACATTTTAGGGTTTGAATCTGTCCAAATGACTCAGCTGGAAGACTGGACATGCTGCAGTGAGCTGCAAGGTGCTATCAAACATGAAGTAGGCAACAAAGAACAGGAACCAAGAGCAAAAACACCCTTGCTCGAGAAAGGGAATAGTATTGAGGACTTCACAGAGACTGTAGCAGACGAGCCAAGAGACAAACCAAGACCAACAACCAGACCAAGAGCCAGGGAAAAATGAACGAGCGGCGTAAACTTGTCTGACCAAAAGCTGAGTGACTTTCTGAAGCGCAGGTGCTCTGAGCGACAACCTACACCAGGAAAGCTACTCAAAGCGAGCGGCTTACCACATGCTGCCTCGATACTTGAGCGTGTACGGCCCGCTTTCGAGAGCCCTGTCAAAGTGGCTGTGCACCTTGTGCTTCCCCTTCCCGCTCATGTCGACCAGCGTGAGCTCAAAGAGGGCCCTCACGTCCTGCCCCTCGCTCGCAAGTGCGATAAAGACCGACACATACATGGAGTTGTCCTCTGCATTTTTTCCGTCCGGATAGAAATAGATGGCCCACTGGTAGCCCCCCACCGTGAACATGTCGCTTGCGATGTACTTCCCGACGCCCATGCCCTTGGCGAGAGAGTATCCATTTATTGTGAAGTGATGGCTCCCATTGACAGTCTCTGTGACGTTCTTCGAGCATGTGGGAGAGCTGGAGGCGAGCATCTCGGGCTTTGGGGGGCGGGCCATCTCTGAGCAAATCTGAACTTAACCAGCGACTGCTCTGAACTACCTGCTTCCTTGAACCCTAGATGCTTTCTACCAATGCTATGTTTTCCGGTGCTCGTCACACCGTCGGCCTGCAACCTGAAGTCTAACCCTAGGCGTGTCGGAACCCTCGCCGTATCCAAATCTCTAAACGCGTCTTGCCCTAGATGCCCTCCACAAGAAAGGGCCACGACCCAGGACGTTCTTAGAAAGAGGAGAGGTGTCAGTTGTCGATATCCAAAAGCTCCATCCTTCTCAAATCCCGACGTCGTAACAGCAAGCCAACACAGCCGTCACAAACTCCACTTATTCACTTGCAAGAAAAAAAGCTTTCGCTGTCTGGTCAACAATATGTTGACATGGTCGGACTCGGCGCCCTTCAAACTACAAAACAAACTGACGGCTTTCCCAGGCTCTTAGGGCCACTCAGTTTACCAAAGTGCTGCCTTGCAAACAGACGTCAGAATGCTGGAAACAGGAAGGGCCTCCCTATCAGAAGTCCGTCCCCTTCCTCTGCCCTGTTGTGACCCTCCGCTGTCTAGAGCGCTCTCCAGACTGAGCCCCTGCTTCCCCTTCTGCGCAGATCGAGGACACGAGCAAGAACAGTGCTCAGCCTGTGATCTGTCAACGGGAGGTTTTCCTCGACAACACCGTATATCCCAACATATCCACAGAGACCTCTTTCTGCCAAAAGATCCATAGATCATTCTGCTTGCATCCTTATGAAATAGGTCATTTATATTTTAATACGATGACTGGTCAAGTTTCAAGAGAGGCACAGTCCTGTCAAAAGACTTGGGGTTTTATTTTCCCAATATGGTGATAGGCTCGTATTGGGTCCATAAGCGTCATGAGTCCGATGTCAAATGACCGCAAACCTGCCGTATAGGACCAGGCACTTACTGACAAAAGGTTTAGAACGTATGCATCGGATCTGATAGGATTTAATCCCAATCGTTCCGGCAAAGTTCGAATCTGAGATCCGCAAAATCTGCACTCCAGTCTCCAGTGAACAGGACAACTTGCTCCACGAGCTGAAGCGGCGAAGGCCCGGAGGGCGGCATTGTGTTGTATTCGAAAGCGACAGTGTCAGTGGTAGGATATCTTCTGAATCGTCTGTCCTCCATCCTCCGCACACGCAGCCTCTGGACACCTTCTAGTCGTGTTAGCATTTCCAGGTGTTTTACAATTGCCACTACATTCCCTGCACAATCGGATTCTTGCTGTTGCCCGTCAGTTGGCATCATAAGGATCGGACTAGCGGAGGGAAACATTCTGCTGCAGCAGCGCAACCTGCCATCAGTGTGCATCTATCCTCCTTCAAGATTGATCAGGTTGCTCAAAGACTGATACTGAGCGATGAGCAGGATGGCAAACAACGCAGTTGGCCGGCCGCTGTTCAGTCTTCTAGACAGCAAGCTGAGAGTGAGTGCAATCTGCGAAAGCTGTGCACATTTACTCATGCTGTGTGTTTGCCCTGTAGACTGCCCTTCTTACCAATGAGAAACTGTGGTTGTGTCGCTTGATATCTCTGGTTTGTTACACAACAATTTGAGCTTAAAACGATTGCAGAAGAAGTGAGAAATGCAGCTGAGTTTGCAAACTTGGTCCACTCTTGAGGGTTGTCTTGTTATCATCCACACTCAGAATTCTGTCCCTCTGGGGCCAGGGACAGTACATTCAAAATCTTCTTCAACTGGCACCGCTGTGGAAATGTCCACTGCAGGCGGCTTTCAACCCCGTTAATCTCACCATCGTCAATGAGTCACGAATGCATGCTGGCCATTCTGGCAACCCGTCTGGGGACCCCGATGCTGAAACGCACTTCCGGTGAGCTCCTCAACCGATCCGGGTTGTTCCGCGCTCTACTGTTTCCTTATGCACAAATGGCATGGATTCTGTGACTCTTAATCTCCGACTGCAAGGTTCGCAGGTACTTTGGATGATCACCCCCAAAGAATTCTCATTTCACCTAAACCCCAATGTCGATCTAATCTCAGTGATCTCGTCCTATGATGCTGTTGACCATCTGCCCGCTTCTTTGACAGAGTCGAAATGATATCCGAGGCGTTTGAAAAGAAGCCTTTGGTCCAGCGGCATAGACAAGTTTATGATCTCCTCAAAGAGGAACTAGAACCAGGAAAGATTCATGCGCTGGCACTGAAGTTGAAGACGCCCTCAGAAGCAGAAAAAGAGGCTTCCAAGAGAACGTTATAATGATCTCAAAATCAGTTCCTTGCTTAACGAGCTTGTTGGGTACACAAGCCAAGCTTATTCCGAAAGGTTGCGTTGGTGTGTAATCCTAGAGCTCTGTGCTCGGAAGTAATCTTGTAAAGTTCTCCATGTGGCACTCTGGAAATATAAAAAGTCTTTGGCGGTCCTATATCTGGCTGCGGGCCGGCCGGCTCAATCAAGGGCACGTCCAATCCTGGCTTGCATATTGTCATGCCTGGCTACTTCGTGGGCGGTGCATGATCCCTTGCACCATGGTGCATGGAATATATATGCAGATCGATTGGATCGACAACAAACATACTCGATTGGAGGGCAACGTACCTATAACTGGCCCGTGTATAAGCACGCCGGGAATCTGGAAGTCATGCATGAACTAAGGAGGGTACGGTTCGTATCATTACACATGTTTCAGAAGAGATATATGCAACTCAGCACCTCAGTCTGTCACTATAGATTCAATCCACAATGATGGACTCACAGCAAGAGCATGATCACATGCAAATTAAAGCGCAGCTGGCAGCTGTATATGTGCTCGACGGATTGGACTGTGGAACCATAATTGTTGGCCGGGGAGGATGTGACAGAACACATCAGTGTGCAAAAGATGACTTCACCAGGATCAAATTCGGTCTCAGTGTAAGGCTAGGCCCGCTGGCTAGAACAAACGGATGGTCCACTTGCATACATAATACTTGAGGGCTCCGAATCCTCCCCTCCGGTAGTATTACGTGGCTTCTGGAAAACAACACTGTCATTAACAATGTACAACTCTCGAATCGTAATTCTAGGCGACATCGGAGTGCCAAAAACACGCGGACCTAGGCTCTAACTCAAAGCCAGGCAGCTGCTTGCAGCCTGGTCAACACATCTGCTCACTATCTCAAAAGCAACGCGGACGGTTCCTGACAACTCGGCTACTCTGGCGGCTCCTGGGCTCGTCGCATTTTGGAAGCGACTTGTGAGATGGGCACACAGCGCTTCAGATCCCTATCGTACAGATAGCCTGGTGCGCATAAAGGCACACATGCCACCGCGTTCGGGTCGAAGTAAAAGCCCACCGGGCATGACTCCTCCTTCGTTTCGAAAAGCTGGGCCGCTGCCCAGGCCAGGAACCGGTCTCCAATTGATCTGTCCCTTTCTATAGACCCCTGGCAAAAGCGAAAGAAAGGAATCAGTCGTTCAACATTTAGTGCCTCACTCTTGTGAAGAACCTTCCGAATCAGGTCTCGACCCATGATCGTATTGACGGTCGTGTGATACGACTGCTCGCTGCCCGGTTTAACGAACATAAACACAAACTCAAACAGGCTCGGCTTCGGTTCACACTCGATTATGATGCGTCGCGGCTTGCCCAAGTCTCCTCTGCCGCCAACCTTGCTCGACGACGACGAACAATCAGAATGGATCGCTCTCGAAGGCAGGTTCCAGAGTCCTCGCCTGCAGAGTCTCCAAGAGAAGCGGCAGATGAGCCTTAGCTGTTCCCGCTCCGATTTGCTAGGTCTGTGTTCTCGGACTGGAAAAAGAGCTGGTGCTCAGAATCATAATGTTCCTGATCTCGAGGCTTCCATCAAAGGACGACGATAGTGCTTCAAAGGATTCTCTAGTCAAAAAGAACCATCTTTGCTTGTACGTGGATACTTAGGTTGACGATGATCGCAAGAGAGCGAGGAACAGAGGCGGGAAAGGAGCGACAATCTCGCCAACTTTCGCCACAAGCTCGCGTCGGAGTATGAGAGCATGTTCGAGCCTGAGAAAGAAGGTCAAGACGGCCGCCACGTAAAGTGATCAACTAGAAAGGTTAGGCCGCCCCGGAAAGTGTGTGCACTCAGAGCCGGCATGGCCTTTCTGCTCCTAAAATGCGTTCTGAAAAACTGCATCGAAGCGACAGCGGCATGCGGAAACATGGCTTTTTCAATCGATCCATCTTGTCACACCATTACAACAAGGTGTTGGGGATGATCAGCCGAAATCCGAACGGCGCTCACAGCGCTCGTTTGAAGCCACTAAAAAGCCCGCTTCCCTGGAGTCGAACCTTGCGGCATTTCAGCCAAGTGTTCGCCAATCGCATTCTAAATTTTCTCGGGCGACTATGCAGAAAGTTACGGATTTGACTTACACTCTCGGAATGAGCGGACAATTTGGCAAGACGACCTGAAGTTGCCAAGTCAGATCGTGAAAGGAACCAACGTGTGTCGAAGCAGGCCCAGCGCACAAGATACAAACCCCATTGTCACTATCTCCGATTGAAACCTCAACAGATCTTCCCGCTGCAACTGCTGGCATCGCGCCGAGATTCCGATGCTTCCATGTCTGTAGCCCTGAAGCGAACAGGCCAACATCCAAAAAGACACAAGAAAAGCCGATTGAATCCAAACGATTTCTGCAGGGGCTTGCATCGGAGAAACTCTGACTCACCTGCACAGGGGCACACGCGTTCAGGTCCTCGTCATACACGTACACGTCCCCGCAATTAGTGTCTGGCACGCACTCCCCGTCCTTGAGAACGTACCCCGGCTCGCACACTTCGGACACCAGAACGCATGTCTTCGTCTCGGGGTCGTACTTGTATCCCGGCCGGCACATGTATACGCAGGCCTGCAATGAAAACGTGATGATTACGTCTCAGAAGCAGACCACTAATTTCGTACTAGAGTCATGAGATGAATTCGAGAAAAGATGGTCGAGATGGCCAGACTATTCCGATTCCCAGGTCGATAAAAGCGGCCATGAAACTTCTACCAAGAAATGGAAGGGTTTAGAGCGTCTAGGTCAACTGTAGTCTCGGAAATAAACGGTCCTGTAGTTTCACGAGGAATGCGATTATCAAGCGCAGTGACCTAGGAACTCTTCTAAAAAGAAGCTGAGCTCAACGCGCTCTTCTCGGTTGCCGCGAAAGGCTGTGCCCAAGCTGCATAGCGGAAGCTGAGTTAAGGGCGAGCTCGAGGAAGCGTGATGTCCATGACAAGACATGCCAAGATTAGTCACGCTGAGCACTTATACCACCGAATATGATCTTGTTGTACTATGCATCTGGAAGATAGCAGGAATGCAGATTGGAAGTGTGGTCTCTTGCTGCTCGAGATCGGTTAAGGAGCTCGTTTTTGACCACAATTGAGTACCTTTCTCTCCGCTATTATTAAGTTTCGAGCCTGTACCCCATCGCTTGGTTGAGTCCTCCTCTCCGAGACTTAGAAAGGCTTCGGATCCCCTTGGCAACAACTCGTTTCGGTTCAGGAAAAAATCGAGCAATGTAAGTGGCCTCAATGAGGCACTCCGAATGCGCTATGCCTTTGACCTTGGTTTCCTATTAACTCAATTCGTCAGAAGACCACAACACCAGAAAACAGGCAGTACTGAGGCAATGTTGATGACACCAACCATTCGAACAATAGCAAGATGCGCGCACCTTTGTTCTAGGATCTAGATAGTAGCCCTGTCCGCCACACGGGTTTGGGGGAACCAGTTTGGTCACAACAGCTTTGACCGCCCTGCAGGAAGGCCGCAGCCATTTAAGCAGGGTGTCTTTCCCGCTCTAGGAAAAGATGTCAGAGACAGCCTCTGAGACAGCTTCCGCTGCACCGCAAAAAAGAAAAAACCAGACAATCATCTGACCATCCAAAACACCTCTGAACACACTAGCTTTTCGCCCATACACTGTCAGAGGAATCAGAGACAACCTTGTTTACTGCAGTTGCTCTACTGTTTGACACATTCCCAAAATCAATTCTGCTAAGCGTCAGATAGAGTCTCTATCAACTCCAGTCGCGCACTAGGTGATCATCCCTCTTCATTAATTGGAGTAGCACAACAACAAAAGATATGTGGACTGCAGTAATCGAGGACATAGGAGCGATCCCCAGAAACATCCGGACGGATGGGACTTAGGCTGACGGTGACGCATGGTATACCCAGAGCTTGTTTTCAAGGCGATAAAAAGGTGATCAGAACTTTGGAACTCACCAAGCAGGGACCGATGTCCAGTCCATCGAAGCTGCAACCACTCGTGGTGCCCTGCGAATCCTTGGCCCTGACAAACAATCCAGGAAGTTGGCTTTCAGCACAGGCTTTGCTTAGTTCCCAGAGAATGCAGCACATACCACCCAACCTTCAAGACCCGCCCAGCAGATGCTCTAGTGGTCCTATTTGATTGACAGAGATATGCATCAATTACCTGGCTGGAACGTAAGTTTTATCGAGGGAAGCCAGTTCCAGCAACAGCAAAACGTGCGCTCCGTGTCTGCATCCGATACTCTCGCTTCAGCGCTTGGGCCCTCTTCTGTATCCAGAATTTTTTGAGCTTTTGTGCTACTCTCTGAAGTCCCAGTTTGGCAATTGACTGCACTTGCCACTGGATATCCCCAGGATGTGCGGCACAGAGTCACAAGAGAGCTGGATTTCACACCCGCATAGTTGTCAGACTATTGCGACAGGTTCTTGCACCTTGCGAAAGCAGTGAATTCCTGCAAACCAGATGCCCCAGTCGGATTAGTCCGCAAATTGTACGTGAATGGCATACCTGCTTTTCTTGAGCCAATGAACACGCTAGCCATCGTCCAGTCATCAGTACCTAAGCGAGGATTGGCAACTCTTTGCAGAGCAATCGCCCCGGTTCGGCTGAGGAGTACACTGCAGGAGCTAGCCATGGTCCCTCCGACTCCTTCAAATCAAATTCAACTTGCCCTCCGTTTTGCCTCGCAACCCATTCCCTGTACCTTTGAAGCGCCTACTTGCCTTCCCCGTGCCAGTAAGATTGTGACTGAAACTTAAAGAGTGAAGGGGGGCAGGATAGGCCAAGCTTCTTGAAGTTCTTCTGAATAATGAATTGAAACTCCACATTCCTTGAAGTTCTCAGCAAGAGAAGGCGGCAAGGCAAGCTGCTGTGCGTTGGTTTGCAAACCCAGAATCCTGACCACAGCCCCTCGAGCAAAACCGGTCCCGTGGAACGCCCGTTGTTTTTGTTGCCAAGACTGGGTCTTGCGTATTCGGTATCTTTCCCTGCTGAACCGGTGACTGCCGTTTCTCTTCTGACCTTCCAGTAACCCCAGTGGGGTTACTTTAGCTGGACGGCTTTCCACAACCTTGAAAATTTCTAGCTGAAGAAATGTCGTACAGTTGAACTTGAGGCAGAGTTGAGGAGGAGGGAAGGAGGCGTCTAAAGTTGAGAGAACGCTGCATTCCAGGTCAACGGGCCTGCTAGGAGAAGGGATTGCTGCCTCCTTTGAGAGAGCACCATGGCTCACAACAGGTCACCTCTTGTTTTGACCGCTGCAGAGGAAGATGCGGTGATCCGAGACCGGCTGATCACGAGAACTGGCATGACCGCACCGATCACCTGGCAGAAAAAGGTCATGCAACGATTTGCTGCTCTGTCTGCTAGCCTGGTGTCAGACGCGAGCCTTGAAGAGAGTGACAAGTTATTTGACGGTCTGTTGGATGCATTGAAAGTCATGCTGCTGCCAGTGCAGAAGAGCTTCCAGGGAGTGGAGGCAAGCCGGAGGGACGAGAGGCTGGCGCGCGAGCTGCACGAAAAGACGCTGCAGGAAATTGCAAATGTAAGTCCGTTATACTTGAAACCCGTGCAAGCAGCCTGCTTTTTGTTGAGACACTGCCACTGCCGGTGGTTGATTGGGGGTCCATCAATAAAGCAGGCGGTGCAGCTTTTCATGGACAGACTCTTGGTAAGAGTGAAGCTGCAGATTGCGTGCCCTCTGGCGGATATAATTCTGGCAACCAATGGCTGTATGATAGAGAATTTTATTGGAGAAAGCTGGCCACACTGATTTCAATGAGCGTTCCAGCACTAAACGAACTCTGGTGAGTTCCAGATGCATCCTGGGGCAAGAGAGTGGGGTCAGAGGGCATCTTTCTGCCTTGTCCAAAAGGTTTTGTTGGTGGGCCATTTCAGAATACACAAATCATGCAGTCGCTCTCTGTTTCTGAATCGTTTGACCTGGGGTCCCTATGCTCCATCTTCACACAAGCTTAACATCCTAGGAGCATGTGGAAGCGAAACAGCGTTCGCTCATCAACTCTTGTGCGTGCTTTCTTGCAGACTTCTGCAGAGATTGAGCGGCTGAAAACTGAGCTCGACACAGCCAAGATCGAGCGGAAAAACCTGGAGGAGTGCGAGACGATCAGGGAGACGGTGGCTGCTCAGCCCTCCAGGGCGCAGTCAACTAGAAGCATAGAAGAGACGCAGAGGGAGATTGCTGAGATGGAACGAGAGATCGCAGCGGCGGCTTTGGCATTCTTTCACAGAAAGAAACAGTTTGCCTTACTAATGCACGTGGTAAGTTCAGCTTGACGCATGCTCTCAATGATCGAGCACTTGCCCGTTTCCTCTGCTGCTGACTGCTGACAATCAGGTTCCGTACTGACCTCGGAGACTTCGGGTTTGTTGTCACCTATTGCCTTGTCCTTCCTGTTTGTTTGTCTTGACTATAGGTAGGGAAGAGCTGCAACTATCTGGTCACCGATCAGCTGCCTTGATTCTTAGCATGCTGTTTCGGTAAGACCCGCTCTCCTCTTGCTGGGTCGAAGGATCTGAGGTCATTGGCGTCCCTGCAGAGAAACCTCACAAATGATCCTGACGTCATAAGTAACAGCCCTATATGTCATTGTGGTTACACCCCTATCAAGTTTTCAACGCAAGGGACGCTTTGATTGCAGATTGACAGCATCCAGACAGAGATACAAGAAGAGAAGTTCCTCGCAATCGTGCGGAATCAGCAGGATCAAGAGCAAGGACGCGAAGCAGCTGTATTGACGGAGCCAGGTACAGACCCGATGCTTGTGGACGAAGGTTGACGGGTTTAGGGGTTGATGGTACTGGGCGGAACGCTATCGTAGCATCTTGCTCAATAAGCAGAGCTTTACACGCTCATTGCTTTGCTTTATGTAACATGCAAATCATTAGATCAGTCGAGGTCTCAATGCTAGTGTGCGAGCAATCTTATTGAACATCAACGCATTGCAATCACGATTCTCGGCTTCCAAGGACAGTACATCATACACCTAGTGCATTGTCATGGTAGTAACTACACCGATGCATATCCAGCTTGAATAGAAACAGTCATTCGAGCCTGGCTGCGCCACTGGCAGGCCCGGGCGGTCCGGGTGCTCGACAGCGACATGGTGATCACCATTTTGAGGAAACCCGTACCGAGGCACGGCATCTCAGCATATCCAGCTGTCGATATCAATATGGGTTTAATGGTTGTAATGATCGCTGATCTGCGATCCAATCGCATTCTTGAGATCTTCCGACTGGCACCTGCAATCGCATTGCTTAGAGAAGCATGTCACATGTGGTCGGCCACGAACCGGACTGAAACCGTTCCGCGATCATGTAAAGCCTCTTGAAGAGCTCTTTACCATAGAGTATCTAGAGCTGAATATCCATACCATGCCGCCTGCAAACTGCGATTGAGCGCCTGCTGATTGCATGTGGTCGTACGTGATTTAACGCGGTCTTGCAAGGAATCCGTTGCATGCCAACTAAGCAACGCAATTGGTACACTGTCAGACGATCGAACAGCAGTGATCTAGGATCGGCGCGTACACAGTGACAGCACACACAGGCTGAGCACCGTCGAGCCGCCGTACGTTGGAAGTGGTTGTAGTGCAAGTGCATGCCATGCAATGGCCGGTGAACAGGCGTGCGCGCCCCATTTAGTCCAGCTTTTGACATACTGCATTCTGTATGTGGCTTTTCGTGGGAGCGCATATCTGATGAGAAGATTGGGAAAAAGCGTCAATTACGTACACGACTCAAGGGGGTCCCATTGTGGACAGCCAACATCTGTCCCTGCATTGATGCAGGCCATATCGCAAGCGCAACTCTCAAAATGTCAACGCGACCTGCCAAGATTTGCATCCCGTTGAGCTTGCACGGGGCCCTACCCGGCCACACAACGAGGGATCTTGATTAGTACACGCCGTGCACATAAGGCGTGGGCCTGAGTCCAATCTTGCCAAGCACAAGCACCAGCGTTACTGCACGTCTGACCATATGAGTGTAACAATCTGACGATACTTCGATTGAACCTCTGTGTCGCATAAACGTAGTGAATCATTCAGGGATCGCGTTTCTCAACCCTTCATCCCAACTAGGCACCGTCACCAGGATTGCGGCTGCGCAATAAGTCACGTCGCTCGACGCATGGTTCCCGTAAACGTCAACAGACACCTTGCCCACCTCCCAGTCGGTTGGACCGTCGACCGCCCACTTGACGTCTTTCCCGCCCCAGACCACCGGAAAGATCTGCGGAAAGCCGTGCTCGGAGAAGCCAAAAACCTCGTCCTTCTTTTGGTACTGCCACGCGGATAGCGGCGCAACGACATCCGTCTCGCACCTTTCCGTTTCAATGTTCCGCTTCGTTTCTGCGGTGGTGGCGCCGTGCGGCTGGATTACATCCTCCTCGTCTATTCCGTTTCCGGTGTCCGCTTCCGCTTCCACCAGTGACGCGAGCACGTCGGCCGCTGCCGCGGCCGCCCTCTCCGCCTCGTCGCGCTTGCGGCGCCGCTTCTGCTGTGCCATCCACAGCTTGCCTTCTTCCTCCTCCGTCTTGAAACCTTTCGAAACCCTGTGCAAGTGCACAAACCTCACCCCTAACCCGAGCTGCTTAACCGCAGCGAAAAGCACCGCATCGGCTCCCTTGAGTAAAGGCACCGGGCGGTCGGCGAACTGGCTGTTCGTATGCGGGTACGAGAACTGGCACGTAAACCCCAAAACCCCGCCAGCGGGCAGGAAATTTGCGCGGCCGAGCGCGCTTTGGAGCGCGCGGTACAGCGGGAGCGCGGACCAGTCGACCGCGGCCGCGAGCGGCGACTTCGCGCTGACGTCAGCGAAGAGGTTGTACGTCAGGGTGATGCGGTTGCCGCTGGTGACCTCCGTGATCTGCGGTGGACGGAACGCTGCGAATGACTTTCCAAAGCAGACTGGTCATATCGTTTTAAAGATCGACTATACTGTCCAAGCACTTGAAAACATCAGGCAAAGATAGCTCAAATTACGAGAGCGATAAGAGCAGTAACGTTGGAGTAAATCTACAAAAACCTCCGTTTGAAACGGGTCCAGATCAGACAGTTGGTGATCGACTGATTGCAAGCACGCAGAAGGTCAACTTGCGATTCCAGAATCTGCAGGCGAAGCGTGCCAAGCAAGCGTGACCAATTGAGATTGATTGACCGCCAGATCCATGAACCGCTTACAATAGCTTCAAGGGCAACTTTTGCGTTGATCAGAACCTCACCTCGTGCTCGCAATCAGAGTAAAGTGCCACCCACTGGATCGTATCCCCCGACCGTTCGGCCCAGTCAAAAGTTGCATCAGCCAAGCGGTGCCGTACGTGAAGCTGGCCCCCGGTGTAAGCGCTAGGGAGACACACCACCAGGGAGCCGAACATGGCCTCGCCTTTCGGTGTGTCAACGTGCGCCTTGAAAAAGTCACCGGGCCTGCATGTTTGATTTCAAAGAACGTGGGAGATAAAAACTGAAAGGGCTAGCTGCGCCTAGAGAAAGCAGAGAGAGAAGGCAAGAAAAAGTTGGCGGCCAATTTGGAACCAGCAAACGGTCTCCCTGGCCGCGCACAGAGCGTCCAGCTTATTATGAATATTGCATGACGTCCTTCCTTTTCTGTTTCTTATCATTTAATTCAGTAACTCTCACCTGTACACGTTTAGCGTGTAGAGCTCCGCCCTTATGGTCTTTGCGTTCGGCGCCATGACGGTTTGCAAGTCGTGCAGGATGCCGTGGTCGGCAGGGTGGAAGGAACATGCGAAGCGGTCGTTCGCAAGCGACAGAGCTTTCCTGCAAATAACATATTCGACAAGTAGTGAGTGAGGGCGTGCTAAACTTGAAAATCAATGATGTTCTGTTGGTGAACAGCACTCAAAAAAGCTTGACTGCTTAAGCTTGAGGCGTTCCAAAGTCCTTGTACAAGTAGTTCTTGTTGGCTATATGAATATTAGTAGAACGGTGCATCGATGGGTTCTGACAGCGCAAATTGGCTTCCCAAAAATTTTGTGAACCGGCACACTTTCGCAACTACTGTCCTCCAGCCGGGCAAGACAGCGGGCCAGCTCTCCTCTATTTGTTGCCACTAGGTAAGTCAACAGAAGATGAGTATCATTGACCCCGTTCCGCAGCAAGTCAATTTCTCAGTGACTTCAGAACCTCCTTCGACCAAAGATGTGCTGCAGGTCTTACTCTCCAACCTAAAGGTTTGTTAAGACAGAGAAAAAGATAGAGAAAGCCTGGGCAAGATGGAAGAGCTGTCAAGTCATGAGAATGTAATCCAGACCGGTAGGTCGGGTCCGTCACGTCCCTGTCCCCGAACCCAAAGCAGGCCTCCTCGCAGGCTTGGATCAGCTCCATCAAGTCCCCATCGTTTCCGGGCCCCAACGGTAACGCCAGCGTTCGCAGACTCTCCACACCCTCTTCCTTCTGCATACAGAGTCAGAATTGATTGTAAGCCTTCCATTTTGAGCTATCTGCAGTTTAAATCACTTCGATTGCAGTCTACTCTGAAAACGACACGTGGGAAAGGCCTCGTTTTATCTGAGACTTTTCCGTATGTATCTAGATTGTGCGAGCCATTTGGCCAGTATTTTCATCCTTGGGCTTGTTCGCAGGAGCATGAATTTGAGTTACCCCCAAACTCTGTAGGACTTTTGCCTCAAGCCCTTGTTAAGTGCGGGGAAAGCGATGAGCTCCTGCTAACTCCATCAGCGCCCTCAGATGGAAGTTACAGCGTTGACCTTAAACAGAAGACTTTTTAAGGCAAGTCATGCTACCAATCTTGCCTACAGTCAACATGTAGATTCTGTAGTCTTCGAGAAAATGCTTTTGTTCGAGTCAATTACCTCCAGTGAAGGTCGTTGCTGAGTCATCTTACAATGAAGCCACGCCTCGTCTGTCTTTTATTTCTGTCGCAATGCTGCAGCAATTGACCAGGAAGAGCAAGATCAAAAGCAGTTGATTCTTGAGAAGCCAAAGATCCCCTCCGCACCTGCTTGAAGTACAATTGCACTCCGTCGGGAAGCGGAGCAACCCTTCCCCCTTGGCAGAACGTTGCTGAGAGGCCCTTCGCAGCGTCTCTAATAAGGCTGACTGCTTCATCTCATCAGTCTTCCTGACAAAAACGCTTCCATCTCGTGATTGTAATGAAGGCGCGCTGCAGCTCCTGATATTTATGCTCCACCTATGCCTTAATGCAATTCCGGCAGGATGGGTTGAAGATGGCTGTGGTCGCCCCACAGGCAGGAGCATCTGTACTGCTGACGTGCCCAAGCCCGGGGCAAGCATAGCCGAGGCTGCCATCTTCCTTGTTTTGCAACTTCTGACTTCTTACAATCATCAAGCAAGCAAATGGCCTGCTTCTGGCCTGCTTCCTAGCCTGCCTCTAGCCTGCTTCTACTAGGCTAGCTGCTAAGATGCTCCAAGGCTTTTCGATCAGGGTTTGGATTAAGGTGCCGGGACCGCAACCGCGTGCGGGCATCGCGCCCCGGCCCGCGCCTGGCAGGGGCCTGACCGCCGCCCCGGGGCCTGAGGTTTGGGGTTCGGAGGTTCCAATACGTTTTCGATATCGGACGCCGCGGCCGCCCTGCGCGCATATGGCATGATTTGCTGTGCATGAACGCCAGAATACTGAGAATCACTTTGACTCTTTGACTTGTTGATAGAACCTCAGGCTTGAGCGCTTATAATTTCGGCCATGAAGGCGGTTGGGTTCAGAGCTCCATCTTGTCAGCAGCTCATGCTGCCTGCAGAGATCAGGAAACCCCTCAACAGATGCGCTGCAATTCCTGCAAGACGGTGCTTGACCACCTACTCTACCGCACCTGTAGGCCAGGGACCAAGGGCTTCAGGGAAGAATGAAGACGCAAAAGTAATGATCAATGAAATTGGAGATGCCGCAAGGGGCCTTTCAGCAACCTTCTGCCAAGGAGGAAGTGTTTCTCTGCCCCCAGGCGGCTTACAACTATACTTCGAGCAGGTCAGGCTACACCCAGTCTACCTGTGCTGCTCTAAAGAAAGGGTTTTTCCGGGTCTTCAAGAAGCTTCTCTATCAGCTAACTGATGGTGCTTTAGCAAACATTAGCATCGTTTGATGAAGGCATAGTCTCATGACGGAGTGAAAGTGTCCGAAGCCTTTTCTGGGGTGCACCAGGGGACTTGCCAGCAATAATGTCCAATCCTCGAGCTTCAGCGGCTACTGATATTCTTGAAAGTGTGACTGATCAACCGCGCAACTAAAGGCAAAACTGAGTGCTGAACAGGTGCTCAGATATGACGTCACCTTGTACTATTGGAAATGCAGGCGAGAGGAGAATGTGAAGAGGTGTGAGTACTCAAACTTCCGCTAGAACCGGGCAGAGAAGGCGACTTTATGGAGCTCGCCCAGTCCTGCAACCTTTCCGGGTTGGTTGCAATTGCTTCCGCGTGATGTGTGCGATTGAAAAGCCACAACTTATCTTTCCTCAACAACGTTGCTTTTTACGGCCTACCAGGCTCAGACTGTTCGAGAAAACATTCTGGCATTGAAAGCACCCCTCGACTTTCCTGCTTCCAGTCAAGCTTATTTTGGAAAGGTGTCAAATCAGAGAAACTTTCTGCAATCATCCGAAAAACTTCGAACAAATCGAGTAAACTCTAGCCACCAATCCTAGCAGACTTCGCTTAGACAGGTTCGTCAAATGACCAATCATGAATGGCTTCTGTGTGATAAAAAATCTGTATCGCCCTGGCTAAGAAGAATCCTTCACCTTTGCTTTTTGCCAGAATGGTGCCAAACTCGAAAGCGCTCGTTTTGCCTGCACCTTCCACCCGGCGGATCACGGCATCCTGCACGATGCGCATATCACTATGGCGCCAAATGCGAGGACGATAAGGGCTGAGCTCTAGACGATTCACGTGTATCGGTAGGTTCTTCAGCACTCGCTAAGGCGGAATCACGTGACTCTTGCACTGGCAAGAAGCAAAGTATCTTCTTAGACCCTTTGGCAGCGATTCAACGAGTCTGCAATCTTGATTTTCCCAACTCAGAAGGACTTGAATCAAGCGCAGACTAGTCTGAGACGAAGTCAAACACCGAGCCTTACCTACGATGGAATGAGATGGTGAGAAAGTTTGCCGTCTATACATTGGACAATCTCGGCTGTGGCTTGAAGCTTGCTCGTCAACGAGAGTGCTCGATCCTCACACGGCGCTCTGCGATGCAATATGAATAAGGACAATCTACAAGCCTGCAGACGGCTGAGGACGCTCGTGACAACCATTAACTTTGAAATGGATCCTTAGGGACGAAAGTTCGAGAATTCTCGGAGTAAACAACACTAGAAACCCTGATTGCAAAATTGCATGTTCCGCACCCGAACCCAGCCTGACTATCATACTAACCCCATCCCTTCCATGTACCTTAAGTTCCTTGTTACTGTTAAAATTCTTGCCTGATTCTCATAAGGAGCTTTCTTAAGCGGCGGCGCCCTTAAGTTCCCTTCTCAACATTCTCAGGCCTGACACTGTGTACGAAGCGACTACGGAATCGCCACGAGGCGAGGCCTTGTTCGGTACTCTGGTGGTGTGTCTCCCGAGCGCTCATACCGGGGGCCAACTGCGGGTCAGACACGGCTCAGCGACCGCGAACTTTGACTGGGCCAAGCGGTCGGGGGACTCGATCCCATGGGTGGCACTCTACTCTGGCTGCGAGCTCGAGGTAAAGGATAGAATTGAAGTATCTTTGCTCAGTTCGAGAAGTGTTTGTGTTGCCTGCGTGAAGGACCAAAGGATTGGCCTTGAGATCTGGCTGTTCGGTTGAGGCCAATCCTGACGTGCTCAGACTTTGTTGATAGAACTGGAGCGCACAACTTTCAACAGGATATCACAGGAAAGAATGTAGGATTTGGATTTCGAAGGTCTGAGATCCTTGGAGTTGTCAACCAGATCGTGTGAATTTTTGGAGCCAGCAGACTCGACAGTGTGTGCAGCCTAAGCATGCTCATCTTGAACGTGTTTTGATCAATGTTTTTAAAGTGCCAGCGGATTCACATTCCCGAGTTGTCTACTAAACGGAGTTCACCATTTATTTTTCTAGTATCTACCTTGCGCTTTCGGAGCATTTTTGGAGGCGGATGGGTGCGGGAATTGCGAAAGGCCCCTAACGGTTCGATGATCGGCTGAACCCCATTGAAAGCCTACTTAGCGGCCTTTCCGTTCTTGTTGCGGATATCTTGAAGGCAGCTACAGTAGCTGCTGAGGTTTTGCGAGCGAGAGCCAGTGTCCCGCTGCCACATCCCGATTCGAGCGTGTCTGATAGCATCATATGCGCGAGCATCTTCTTGCAGCCCTCATAGCAAACTGTTTTGCTCCTCGACTCAATTCTGACCTGGACTTTGGGCAAATTCACAAGCCATTGTCGTTGGATCATGTATGACACAGTGGAACCGTTCAAGATGAACGCATCTTCTGTGAAAAGCCTCTCTGATAGACAGAAACGGGCCGTTCCGGTAAGCTTTGATTCATTCTTGCAGATGGCGAAAATCACCAGCGATTACCGCATCACCCTCACATACCACCTCTTTGCGGACGTCGGCAGACAGTCGCCGCTCGCGGCCGCGGCCGACTGGTCCGCGCTGCCGCTGTGCCGCGCGCTTCGGAGCGCGCTCGGCCGCGCGACCTTCCTGCCCGAGGGCGGGGTGTTGGGGTTTAGGTGCCAGTTTCGGTACCCGCACACGAGCAACCAATTCGCACAGCGACCTGCGTCGCTGCTGAAAGGAGCGGACGCAGTACTCTTTGCGGCTATGCGACAGCTGGGGTTGAGGATTAGGTTTGCGCATGTTTACAAGGTTTGGAAAAGTGTCGAAGGCAAGAGAAGGGGAATGGAAGAAGAGGACGATGATGAGATAAGCGATGAAGTGAAGAGGATGGATAACATCAAGCGTCGGCTGGTGCGCGCGCGGCTCGAAGCGGAAGCCGCCGCGGCAGCGATATCCGACGTGCTGACGGCGCTGATGCGAGCGGAACCGGAAGACGAGAACGGAATCGATCCGGACGACATTCTCTTACCGTCACAGAGTGTTGCAGACCGCATCGGGACGGCGGTAACGCAGCGGTCTGAAGAGCCGGTGCGTTACAGGGCCCAGACCGAGATTGTCGCTCCGCTCTGCGCTTGGGAGTACCAGGAAAATGAGGGATCCCTGGCTGGTTCCGGTACGTGGGAAGACAGCTTTCCGTTCTGCTTTCCGGTGCTGCGCAACGGAGCGGATGTTAAGTGGGCGGTCAAAGGGCCGACGTATTGGGAAGCGGGAAAACTGAGTGTGGAGGGGACCGGTTGGTACAGGGCTGCGAGCGAGGCTATTTATTGCGCGGCCGCGATCCTAGTCACGGTGCCCGGTTGGGGGAGTGAGCAAAGAAGTGATCTGATCGAGGAATCAGCAGCATCTGGTTCACACGCTGAATGATTGGTGCATGACTCGAAGCCACTCTGTTCAAGGTGGCTTCGAGAAGACAAAAGATGCCGGGTCTCGGTCTGATTGAGATATAAGACGCCCTGTGGCATTCGAAAAGACCCGCAACTTCCCGTCTTTTGTGTTGGTATGGCCTATTCCGTCGGAGCAGAAGGCAAATCACTCTCTGCTCAGGATAAGCCACCGCGTGTGGAGGCCCCGGGAATACAAAAACTTTTCATTGAACAAGACGGCTGACAACCAAGGTCGGAAGCACTTATGAGGACTCAACTTTGCATGGAAAGCTTCAACGACGTTGGCATGCACGCTTAGGGGTGTTGAGCAACCTTGTGCTTCTCATCCATTCATGGTGGCCGCCCCGGCCGGGCACAGCGTTTGAAGATGCAGATTACCGACATTGAGATCATCTTCATTAGCTGGCGCCGCGCGCGTTAACTTATAGTTTTTGCAGTGCGACGGTCGACATTTATTGGGCAGCGCTCCGCGTCATTACTTAATCCGGCCAGTCAATGGAAACTGCTTATATCCATTCTGTGCCAATATGCGCTCAGCATGATTTCAGTGTTGTCACGGTGGCTTGGCCCCTCATGCTGTAGCGGTTTGAAATCCGCTCGAGCGGGAACCTTTTTGAGATGCAGGGGTTAAAACTTGCTGTATGGGGCCCCAGAACTGTACGGCCGACCCGGGCAATGCGGCCTACACCTAGGTGTTTGTCGCCGACCGCTCAGTGCAAACAAGCACTACAGGAATACTTGAAGGTCTTACACGACTAATCATCTTGCAATCGACCGCTTGTCTTGAGTAAAGAGAGACGGAAGGAAGCAATTTCCAGATTCATGCGAAGCCAGCGCACCAACAAGCACTTCTAACATGACACCCCAGAGCTGCAATTCGTCCTAAATACTGAGTACTCGTCTGTTCCTCCTGAATGCCTCAAAAAAGCTGTATTCCATTCATTAGCGCAACAGACGGCTTTGAACCTCGTTTCTACGAGCAGCGGCTTCTTCTAGAATAGAAAGAGTCTCCCCTCGTATCCTCGGATACGCCCGTACTTGCAGTGCGCTCGTCGTCTGACCTTTTGACGTTCGTTTTTCTATCTCTCCTTTGTTACATTCTTATGCCTCATCTAATACCCGCTCAGAGCTCACGGCCTTTCTACATCCTTTGACAAGTCCGCGCGCGCGCGGCACTGACGTATGCACTAACGCTGAAGGAACTCAGTCCGAAGGTGGTCGCCCCGCGCCTTCGCCTCATCGATCGGCGCCTTTCTGACGTCGCTAGGTTGTTGCAGGCCCGCGCCCGCCGCAAGTAGCATGCGCGCGAGCGCTCGCGCGGCGGTGACGTATGCACCATCGCTGAAGAAATTCAGTCAGCAGGCACTCGCCCCGCGCCTTGGCTCACCGATCGGCGCCTTTCTGACGTCATTTCTTACCGCGGGCCCGCACCCGCCGCAATGATGATGCGCGCGAGCGCTCGCGCGGCGCCACGTATGCACTAGCGTTGAAGGAACTCAGCCAGCAGACGGTCGCCCTGCGCCTTGGCCTCGTCTACCGGCGACTTCCTGACGTCATTGAGTTGGCGCGAGTCCGCGCCCGCCGCGACGAGCATGCGCGCGAGCGGCAGGTTGCCCTTCCTGGCAGCCACGTGGAGGGCCGTCTGGCCCGTGCTGTCCCGGGCGTTTACAAAGACGCCGCAGCCCAGCAACCTGGATCACAAGATGAAGGATGAGTCACACCTCTTGCTTTAACTCTCGCGTCCTTGACTTGGCTTTCCTTTTGGCACCTAGGGAACGATCTCCTGTTGCTTCATCCCAACAAAAGCTTTCGAGAAAATGAAGTCAGGGTCAGAAACCGATGAGAGTTTCGATCGTAGATGAAAAATGCAGGGGCCAGGGCGAGGGTCGCAAAATAACTCTAAAATAATGCTAGATTGCGCGCTTTCAAGAGACCTGTCTAAAGCGACTCCGTGAAGAAGTCAATTCAGCTTGACATAGACGGATCGAGTTTTGCCATTCAGGACACCAGCGTTCGACAGCATTTAAGTTGCGTTCTGCTCTCTGTCAAAACCGAGTACTTGGAAACCAAACAGGCCAGTACTACTTGCTGATAAGCACAGCTCAGCAGACTTGTCGAAAACCGCAGCGGTGTGCTTGCGAACGAGCGTGTCGAGCGGTATTCGGGGCGACCAGCCTCACCTCTTCAGCAGGCTGATGTCGCCGGCAGCCGCAGCCGCGCACAGATCGCCTCCCTCGTCTTCCAGAAGGAGCTCCGCCCCCGCGTTGCGGAGAGCGGTTGCACAGGGCACGTGGCCGCTTCTGATTGCTTCCCACAGCGGGGTGCTTCCAAGATAGTCTGCACGGGGAAAGAGGGCAGAGCGTATAAGGATTAGGAGCAGATTGAGACGTGGCGCAATATGTAAGAGCGGGCGGCGAACCTGTATGAATCTTCCCGCACCCGACCCGCACGACCTTCTCCCCGCTGAGGCCCGCGATCGCTTCCGGCCTACCAGCGCTCTTAGAATGATATGCATTAGCTGATCAGACACAGGCTAAGCCCTTCAGATCTAGAAGATCTCGTGCATCTCGCTCGCAGCGAAATTTGTGATTGCTTCTGGGTGGAGTGATTTTTCACAGCTTCATGTCCTCTCCGCTAAACCTCCGATTCGAGTGAACGGAGAATCAGACATAGAGTAGAAATACGTCCTGCCAAACAGAACTTGGATATACGACCTGCCTCAAAAGATGTTTTCATGAGCAATAACAGGCAGTCACGCCCCAAGAGACAGGACTTGTCAACTCTGCAAACCGCGGCTTTTCTCTGGGCGTTTTGCTGACAACTTCAACCCTGAAGTTCAACACGTGCAAAACCCTCACCTTTGGCGTTGACGTCAGCGCCCTGGTTGATGAGCGTCTTGACGCATTCCGTGTGTCCCCGAGCGGCCGCGAGGTGCTGCGCAACAGACAACAGAACGATTATGAGCAATTCCGGAGCGCGCAGTCCGAACCGGAACGGGATGGGCATTAAATGACCCGCTGTGTCACATTCCTCAGGATGAACTGGGGCCAGCAGGTCCTCACAGGTGTCACGGTAACGAGAGCTCCGTCACAATGCCGTCAAAATCCCGACCGTCGATACTGGTGATCGCGCCCAAAATCAGAGTTGACTTCCTTAGATCAAAGAAGCTCAGTGAAAAGTGAGAGATACCAAAAGAGAGAAACCGCTTCGCATCGTAGAAGAGGGCCATACTCTGACACCCGTTAGCCATTTCAGATTTAATCTTCGACCGGTCGCGCCCAACGCCCGGTGGTCGCCATCCGAGCACTTACGAGCGGCGTCCGCGCCTGACTGTCCGCCAGGAAGAGGACGTCCGGGCAGTCGTGCCCCTGCAGGATCTGGCGCAGGGTTTCGAGGCTACCGCTGGCGGCCGCGTCGCACGCGGCCGCGCCGATCTCGATGTCGTGCTGCGCGAGCAGCTCCTGGATTTGGGCCGCCATCGCGTGGTGCTCGCGCGCAGCCGGTGACGTCAGCGGGCTGCCGTCCGAGACGCGCTGCAAGAGAGACGGGAGTAAATAAGTTCGGGTTCTGATATGACTAATGAGCGTTTAAAGAAGGGCAATTACGTGGTGCTCGCGGCGGTTAGGGACGTCAGCGGGCTGCCGTCAGAAACGCGCTGCAAACCAAAGGACGAGAGATGATAGCTTGGACTGAGCATGCATATGCGTGCTGTCCGGGACGCAACTCAGAAGGGCAAAAGGAGATACTGTGTGGAGGGAAGTAGAACTAAAACTCTGTGTGTAAGTACATCTGGTAACTTGCATGGTTGCTTTCTGCTTTCTGCTTTCCTGAATATCGAGCAGGCTGCAAGCAGGATCAAAAATCCAAGAACACTCTGCAGAGTCTTCACCTTGACTGGGCGACAAAAGGGCTGACGCTTCTGCGAGGGAATCGCCCGACGATGTTCGCTGGACAGCGCTCATAAGCCATCAGAAACTTGCCGACCTATGTTTCCGTTTCCGTTTCCATTCCCGTTTCCGTTCGACACTCACCACTTTGAGGTTGTAGTACACCTGGCGCGCGTCCTTCATGTACGTCCGCAAGATGTCCGTCAGATTGTCCCGCTCTAGTTTCAGCACGGTCGTCAGGCTGGTGGTGCGCACCGTGAACAGCTGCCGCGCATTCGTCAGCACTGCAACCTTGCCGAACACGCCGCCGCGGCTGATGGAGTTCATGGGCTGCCCGGTGCGGGGGTCCTCGCGCACCTGGGAGGATTTTAGGGTTTGGATTTGATATTATGAGGGTTTATGGGGTTAAGGGGTTGAAAAATCTGAGGATCTTGAGGAGTCAAAGAATTGCGTTCATGGGATGCCCGGTCCGTGGTTCCTCGCGCACCTGGGTGGGTTTTAAGGATTTAAGTTTTGAAGGGTTGAAGGGTTTGTAGGGGTCAAGGGTTTAAGGATTTAAGTTTTGAAGGGTTGGAGGGTTTGTAGGGGTCAAGGGTTTACTGGTTTAAGGGTTTCAGGGTTTATGGGTTTGAGGTGTTTCAGGGTTTAAGGGTTTGAGGTTAAGGGTTTAAGGATTTGAGGCTTTAAGGGTATGAGGGTTTAAGGGTTTGAGGGTTGAAAAGTTTGGGAGTCTCGTGTCTGAGGGCAATTGAGATTGGGGGTCTCAGATTTTGAGAATGTAAGATCTGATGGGTTTCGAAGCCTCAAGGGCTTGAGGAACGCTCAGAGGGCCTGAGGGACTGAAAAGGGGCGAGTCGTAGACGCACCTTCGTGGGAACAGTCTGCACTATTAACGCATTGAGTGCAACTTTGAATCCAGGTTTATCTGCAATAACGAACTACTATTGAGCCCACTTCGTCGGCCACTCTTTCTACCAATCCGCGCTATCTGACTCAGACTATTGTTGGCTTGCATGATGATCATAGAGTCAAGAACCTTCAAGACTATGCTCAAGCAGCGCCTAATTCGCTAGAAGCTGTTATACAGAACATGATTGGACCATCTTGGAAGCAACGAATTAGGGAGTGGGGACGGGATGGCGACGAAGAATGTTGCCCCTTCAAAGCAGCAAAGGAGGCCGGGGCGTAAAAGAAAGGGGATTTTACTTAAGAACTGGGTTTACTGACCAGCGTCCCGGAGACGACGATGTACAGGTGGGTCGCCACCTGTCCCTCCTGGAGCAGGACCGTGTCGGGGAGGTACACCTCAGAGGAAACCTCGGTTAACTGCGGTGGGTTAGAATCTATGTTAGCTGCAATACGTCAGGGTTAAGGTTGGCGCTCATAACCCGCTTGTAAAGACGGCTGTGAGACAGCGAATAGCCTGTGCTACGAGAGGCTCCCGCTGGAAGGGACGATAGGTCGTCTAAGTTTCAGGATCAAACTTGGATGTGGATCGGAGATACAGGGTTGGCAACTTCCGAAGCGAACTCAACGCAGTTCTGTCGCGCTCTTAAAGTCTGTTCGATCAGACACAGAACTCCACCAGTGAAGTCGAACGACGTAACCACGTGCGTATAACATGCCTATGGATCGAACGTGCGGATAATATGCCTATTCATCGACGGCTGAAGTGACTCTGGTGATCTGCAGCATCCAATCCTGGTGCCAATAGCAAACATAACCAGCCAACCTTGAAAGTAATCGGCCGCATCTATTCCTTGTTGCAGACACGGCACTGCCGTTGTCACGTGAACGAGCGCTTCCCGACCTTCAGATTCCGCTTCTCTTTTTCCAGACTTTCAGGCCAATGGAACATCAGCTTCTTCCTCGCAAGCTCAGTACCTCACCAGTTGAGAAACAAACTTGCGCGAGCAGCTCTGGAAGAGGTACGTCGATTCCACGAGGGGGGTGTAGAGCCAGCGGTTGATGCGCCCCCCCAGGCGGCCCGGGAGCATGTTGCGCAGCCACGGCTTTTCTTTGCTGAGCCACATGTCCATGCGCGCGTACGCGCGCAGCTCCTCCACCAGCTTAGGATCCAGACGAGTGTGCGCGGCGTATCTGGAGAAAGGTCACTAGAATCGTCATCCTTGGAAGGAAAAAGATCAAGCTTGGACGCTTAAGGGCGATGCCGAGCTGCCTAGAATAGGCGGCCAGAGTTGTCAAAAGGAGCGGTACATCAAGCAGCTTTGGAAACCGCCTCGCCCCGATTGTTTCAAAGCTCGAATGCTGCCGAACGGTCGTTTGACGTACACCAACGACGAGAGGTGGAGAGGGATCCGAGATGAACGCCGACTAGTCAACAAGGTGAACAGAGCAGCTCCAGCGCGCCTCTTTCCAGACCACGTCGACGTGCCACACGATGACAAAGACAAAACGGTGCAGGTTTTGAACTAACTACGCAGCTTGGTACCTGCTGTCTTGCCTTCTCTCTGCAAACAGACGGCGCCCAGGAAGTGGGTTAGCGCTAACCTGTTCAGGTTGTCCAGCTTCTCGTGGTACTCCCCCGCCAGGTCCGAGTCCTTAACCAGCAGCAGGGTCAAGCTCCCAATCGCGTATGCGAACAACGACATGCTATATATCCCGTAGAACAGCGTCCACCCGCGCTCGAACGTCGTTACCGGCATGTAGACGCATGCGCCCAAACTAGTTCCCGTGTTAACCGAGAAGTACCAGGCCGCGTTATAGCGGTGGAAAGTCGACCAGTTGACGAAGAAGTTTTCGTCCACGTTGCCAAAGATGTTTCCAGAGGGATCCCCCGAGGTGACGAACTCGATGTAGGCGGTGAAGTGCATCAGGCAGGCGGCCCAGTGGCACCCGATGACGACGATCTGGGAGGAAAAAAGCCGGTTAGTCTGAGGTTAAGCGTGGGTTAAGGATGGCTGTATACGACATTCTGGGGGCCGAAAAGGCGTGTGATGGGTGGGAAAACTTGAAAAAAGGGGTAAAGAAAGGGAAGCAAATCTTGGATAGAGGAGCTGAGAAGCTGGAAGCTGCGAAGAAGTGGGTTTTGGTCTGAGTGGAAGTGGGTTAAGGATGGCCGTAGATGGCCGTATGGGGGGGCAGAAAGCCGTTGGCTTGGCGAATCGGAGTGAGTGATTTAACTAGATCAAATAACTCTCAAGAAAGATAATAGTAAGCCAAGATAATAATAAGCCCCGACTAACACTAAAAACCCTAACCCAAAACGATACCTGCTCCGCACCCGTACCCACCCTAACCACCAAACTAACCCTACCCGTCCCACTGCGGTTACCTTACTATTATCTTGGCTTACTATTATTTTTCTTGAGTTTCATCTCGATCAGGAAGGCGGGGTCACGGACTGAACAACTGCTTATGTAGGATCATGAGTCAGCTGATGGGAGTTGCATCTGAGGAATTTGACCTTGATTCTTTTGCAAGGCTCCAACGAAGGCCGCTAATATTATGGTCCTCAACGAATCTCCAGTACGTGAGGTAACCATCCAAAGAGGCAAGCATGGACTAGGGACGGTACTCTGTTTTGGCTGCGCTTCTCCCATGTAAGTGTCTAGAGCACTGTTTCAAGCTTGGACACTGGATTCTGAAGCGTGAGTAAGCCGCGCAACCTGTGACGTATGCAAGGCTCACGAGAATCAGCTTGGCGAGGCGCGCGGTGAGGTAGCTCCAGAACGTCTCTTTGGCGAGGCGGCTGATGACGTGGAACACCTGCGGGAGGCGGTAGATGCGCAGGCACGCCAGGAAGCGGATGACGTCACCCCCCCGACCAGGGGCAGGGGCACCGGTTGCCATGTACCAAAACAGGTTGAAGGGGATGGAGGAGGCGAGGTCCAGCCAAAATCCGTAGCGCAGGTACCTGCGGGTTTGTTAATTTGGTTAAGGTTCTGGTTACGATGTTCTTTTGGGTTTGGTGTATCGGATTTTCAAGGAGTTGGCAATTCTCAAGCTCGGGTTGAATGAGATGGAGGAGACGAGGTCGAGCCAGAACCGAAATTGAGGTACCTGGGGGATGTGGTTCCGGTTACGGGGTGGTCTGAACTATGAGCGAAACAACCATTTGTCTGGTATTGGAATCATAAGATTGCCAAGCTCAGGTCGAGCTGGATGCAGAGGCGAGGTGGAGCTAGGATTCCGAGTCGGAGGTCTTTAAGTTGGATCTCATAAAAGAGGGTAATGAAGCTGGGGTGAAAACCCAGAGCCAGCCGCTTGAGGCTGTCTGACCGAAATGTAAGGCTGGGAGTGACGGTCCGCCAAAAAGCTCCTTTGGATCAGTGCATGTAGCACAAAACAAAATTCTGACTTGCACAAAAATCATCGCAGGCCCCAAAAAGGGAAGCGAATTGCTCGTGGCAGCTGTGGATTACACCACAGCCATGTTACATGCATGTCAGAACCTACAAAGGAAAAAGCTTCATCATACGTAATGCGGATGAGTCATCTCGCCATCACAATCTGCTTAGATGGGCCTTTGCATTACCTGTGTCTGGTTACAAATAAGACCAGCGTCAGCGCAACAATTGTGACCGCATGCTTAGAAAATAGTCTGGAGCATCAGATGGTTCGAAATCAGTGCGATCCAGTCCATGGAACTTTACCTGACAGCGATCTTCTTACGGTCCTCCACCAGCTGATACTTCTCCCTCTCGATGTAGGCCAGAAACCCCGTCCTGATGACCATATCAGTTGCAAGCAACGCCCCGGCAACCGCCTCGTATATGCACCATCCCAAAGTGGGGTCCGGCAGCATGGCCCAGATATAGGGCGCCGAGAAGGAGCTCCAGAAAACCAATGCATTGATGACGTATTGCCACTGAATGTATCGGGGGTGGTAAGGGTGGATGATCCAACGGCCGCGCTTGAGTGCGGGGTTTAAGATGTCCTGCATGAGCGGCTTTGCGGGGGAGTGGTCTGTGTCCGTGGAGAAAGCGCTGTGGGGGGAGGTAGGGAGGGAAAAACCGATGTCTGACGCCATGGCTGTACGTTTCTAGTTGCAAAGAGGAGGTGCGGTTTGGTCGGCTCAGAAGAGGTCGCTGCAAGAGAGGTGCTGCGTTTTGAGTTGCGTGTGACGTCTACATCAGACAAGAGCTATACACAAGCTCAGCAGGGGGATGCCTAAGGTGAATAGGAGACCAACTCTTTATGGATTCAGACACATGGAAGCAGAATACAGAGGGGCGAATAGAAAAAGGCTGACAAGCAGCTACGGGCTCGTTGTGGCAGCCAATCACCGGTAATCGTGAAGCAAAGGCAGCATCCTGTTGGCCTATGAGAGCACAGGAACTGGTATCTGAGGAGCAACACCAAGCGAGGGGCTTGTACGGGGCAAACAATTTCGTGCAAGTGCCAGTTTGCAAAATACGAGTCTTTGACAGGACAGTTGCGAAACCCCCGGCTTGAATCGACAGCTCGGTGAACCTACCATGCAAGAGTGGGCCTTTCTTTGGCAAAAGTGTGATGAGCTTATACAACAACGGATGGAACAACTTTCTCAAACAAAATGTAGGTCAATCGATTTCAATGACAAGAATGATGAGAGCAAACCAGAAGCATGCGATCAGTCCTTCCAATTGAAACCCTGTCAATCAGTCAGGCCAAACCCCAGGTTTCGACTGGCTCTGATCAGACAAAACTGCGGACTCAGATCTTCATCAATCTTCTTGCTTGCCCGTATCAGTCAGATGTCTCTGGGGGGTGCGTTCGCCTATGTTCAAAGGTTTTGAACGGCCCTCTTTTGGTGGTACACTGACTGTGTATGTGAATCCAACCCCCCATCAGTTGGTCAAGATTCATGAAGGAGTTGGAAAACTTATAATTCAAGCTTGATTTCAGGTAGCACATCTAGCTGCTGGTGGACAAAGGCACAAGCACCAAGCTTGTGTCTGAACAAACCCGATTGGCACAATCGAATGCACCCAATCGAGAAAGGTGTTGCACTGATCGAATGCAACCAATCAATCAAACAAAAGCTATTTCAGCCGGATAATGGCCGATTCCAGCTAATCTGATTTTTGATGAGAGCCTTTGGTGGTACCAGCTCGAACGCATGACTGCCACCCATTGTATGAAACAATTCAGCTGATTGCGACAGAAAACTAAATTGTATCCACGGTTTTACCTTTGAATGTGAGAAACCCCCTCCCTTGGACGCTTCTCAATATGACTTTGTGTCTGAGCTCCTTTCAGCAGCAGCTGGTAGTCTGTCTAGCTGAGTGATGAAACTCTAAACACCAATCAAAGCAGCTCAATTCGTAAGGACGAGTAACCTTGCTTGCCCAGCAACTGCCACCTTTGTTCTGAGCTCATCTCAATTGAATCTGATCGCCACACCTTAGATGGGCTCTTTCCCAGTTGTATCTGCGCACAGGTAAAAGGAAGGGCCCCTCCCTGATTTGGCTAGCGTTAAGCTTAGCTTCATGCTTCTCCTTGAAAGCAA